CGCGGCACCAGCGGCGCCCGCCCCCCCGGCCCCCCCCCCAGCCACACCAGGGGGGATGGAGCTGCTTGGGTGGAGGAGGCTGCAGAGCCCCAGCACCATCCAAAACCCAGGTCTGGGGGGAGGAGGGGGTAGCATCAGTCCCCTCTGAGGGGCACAGCTGAGTGCTGGGGCCGTGGCAGAGCTGTGCCCACTGCTGCCTTCACAGAGCTGGTGCTGGAGACGTGGGACCTGCAGCGTGAGCAGAACGGGCAGCAGCACCGGACAGCGCAGCTGGGGCAGCAGCAGCTGGTGGTGCGGCGGGGACAGCCCTTCACCATCACCCTGCACTTCTCGGGCAGGAGCTACGAGGAGGGGGTGGACAAGCTCGCCTTCAATGTCGAGACGGGTGAGTGTCACCTTACCCTGCCAGGGCTCATCCCATCTCACACAGCAGCCCCAACCCCACCCTGAGGCCCCTTTGCCACTCTTCCTAAAACAAGTGTTATTTTGGGGCCACAGTGTCCTGCTGACCCAACCAGACAAGAACTCGAAGTGAAACTGCACCCAATTTCCTCACAGTCTGAAACACACTCTTCTATTTCCCCTGAAAGCTCCAATCCCTCCATGGGGTGACAAACACTGACCCAGAAACTCCCAGTTCACCCTAAACCAGTGGCTCTCACAGTGCTTTGGTCCCAAGTCAGCCATGCCAGGGTCTCCCTGCCCACTGTTCTGACCCACCAGGTTTGGATAAGGTTGTGCCACATCCCAGGCAACCCCAGGTGGGTTTTGCAAATGAGGAGAAGTCCCTGGGTGCAGCCCCCAGGGACAAAGGGGGAGACAGTCTGGCAGCAGCTGCCACCAGGCTGAAGCACAGCCTCAGGGTTTACAGAAAAATGGGCAAAGGTCTTTCAGCTCTTGCAAAGGCACTTGGCCACATGGCCCTGGCACATCCTTTGCTGGGGCTGGTGACATGCAGGCCAAGCAGGGGCTGCCAGACCTGGCCCATCCAGGACAGCAAGGACACGTGCAGGAAAGGGAAATGGCTCTGTGCAAAACCAGAGCCTGTGTTTTTTAAAGCAGGCGTGTTTGGAGTGCCCTGCTTGGTGCCCGGGCCCTGAGGGGAAGCCACGGCTTTTACAGGAAGGAGGAGGAGGAGGCAGACTCCCAGGTCTGCCCACCCCCACTGCAGCACCAGACTGGCCCTTGACCAAAGGACAGGGTTGGCTCAGCCTGGCCTTCCCAAAAGGACAGAGAGGAGAAACTGTGTCACCCTCATGAGTTCATGAGTATTTTTGGTGACTCGTCTGCGGGTGGAAGCTGGCAGGGAACCAGCCCCAGCCTGTGCTCTGGAGCAGGGTGCAGTGGCACCACCACAGGGCCACGCTCAGCTAGGGCCAGGCATCCCCACTCCCTGAAGGAGCAGCGTTTGGATCTGGCTCAGAACAGGTGGCTTGGCACAGCCAGCAGCTCAGAGGGGCCAGCAGGATCACAGTGTCCTCGGTTCAAGTGCTCCAGCCACTGATGTCATCACTCGTGGTGGGGTGTTTGCAGCAACGCCTGTGGCTGCACACATGTAGCTGAGCTCTGGCTGAGACCACCCCAGCAAGGGGGCTCTGGCATCAGGTGGAGACACAGCCCTGGGGTGAGCTTCCCCCTCCACTGTCCCAGCCCTGGGGGACCCCAGGGTCCCTCCATCCTGCCCCTTCCTAAAAAGGGCAAGACATGGCCAAGCTTCCCAGGG